TACAATACTATTTTATATGGAGAAGTACTTACTGAGTGCTCATTTAGACCCATGAACTAAGAAAATATGAAGTAGTAACGACAAAGTAGCTGAATGATAGGAGTGAATCGAGTATATCGAGATTCAGGATAACAGCAAATTAGTAGTATTTAATAGAAGATTCTACGGCATAGAATAGCAAAACCTCGTACAATCAACCATGAGTTAGGGTTTTTTCAGACCCAAATTTAAAAATAGAACTAGAAATTTAAATATGTTTGATTTTTAAAATTTATAAAACATATATTTTAATAACAAAATGATAAGATTTTTTTTTCCAATTTAACACTTATGAATAAAAACCAGATATATCAGTCAAATTATTTATAAATATACCAAAAATAATATAATTTTTACTTTATTATTATTATAAATATAATGATACAGGTGGTAGCCAAGGGGCACTGAGAGCATGTGTTCTACGGAAATACTTTTATATAGATTTGTATGTTATTTTATTTTATCCTGTTAAGAATATGAATACGTAATAATACAATTGATCTATACTCAAGACTTCATACTATTAACCAACTGATGTCAAGCTATAAATATTTTCCAATTAATTTTCTTTATAAGTATAAAATAGTGCTTAATATATAACATTTAACTCATGTTAGGATTTAAGTTGAATTCACATTCATTAATAAAGCAGTTAAATGCATCATTCATAATTCATCGCGCATAAATAGTATAATGAACGGGCTAAATGCAGTAATTCTCAATCTTGAACAAAATAATTCAATTTACAAATCTTAATGAGTTATGTTAATAACATTTCTACAATTAATTTAAAAAAGTTTCAATTATCATGATTTATGATTTATTAAGCTTGTAGTTTTTAACGAATTATCAATATAATAATAATTTTTATACGATAACTATACGAATTGTTTTTTTATTGTTTAAAGGTGTTTTCGACTTTGTAGAAAAAACTTGGACCATGTGGTGTAATGATCCACTCATAAACCCACCTCTGTTGCAGTTACCACTGACATTTAAGGACCTAATTTATCCAACATTGGATGAACTCATAATTAACGACATTAAAGATGCTCAAACAGTTTTACTAGATGATAAAGAAATTAAATTAAATTAAACATTCTAAGAAATCATATGATATCAACGAAAATCTAGAATAGATATATGGATTATACTATTGTTAAATTATTATTATTATATTATGAATTATTGCAATATTAATTTTTTCTATTGATCATATATTGTTAACACACTCGATAATATCCTAGTGTATTATTATTTTCAAGTTTAACGCAGTAATTATTAATCAATATAACATGACGTATAATACTATTCAATGTGAATCAAGTAGAGTTTAAAATTTAAATTTAAAGTGCATTGATCTTATTGTTTTTCAATGCCATTTTTTAGAAATTCAAACTAAATAAACTATAATTTACCTTCGTACTTACGGTCTACTTACTATAAGTCTAGTGTTAGGAACATCAAGCATATGCATATTATTTTTGAAAGATTGAAAAAATACCAGAGTTTATTATAAATATCGTTCATCGTGTAATCTTAAATTTTATATTAAAGGTTATATTAAAGGCATATATTAAAGTTTTACTTTTAGAGTTTACAATAACATTATGTAGAAGTTGTGTGTAGATTGAAATGCTATGAAAGGACATACACTCATATCTTATCTCATTGTACGTCACGTATTATACTGCATACATTTATACATACTTTTTTTATTTACATTGTTTTAATTCATATGCAGTTATGTGCGTTAACATAGTCGAATAAATTATTGTAATTTAGTTACATTTATTATCAGACAATCATTGAGTTTGGTTAATAACTCTCAGATTATTTATCCTAAAATTAAGTTTTACGTGATTAACATTATTCATTAATAATGAAAAAAGGAAACAATTATCATAATAGTTAAATTTTTAATGTACAATTTCAATAACAAATTGTTTTTATAGGATATTTTACTGTATATTTGTATTTTTTTTTAGAGCTAGAATCTCTAAACTTACGTATGAGTATAACCTTTCTTTTTTTGAAAAAGTTAATTTCTAAGCATACTGTCTATCCCAAAATAAAAATAAGACCTTTTGAAATTATTATGCTCTTTTTCACTTAAAATCTAAAGTGATAAATTAATCCACTAAAATTGTACACAAGTAAAAAATTTAATCTATTTATATACAATTACAATCATTATTTTTTTAAATAGTTAATGGTTTTTTCCTGAAAATATTGATTTCCAGTGTGTCTCATTATTAACACGTCGAATATAATTATTTGATACATTAGGGAGTAGTATTAGTTTAATTTATTATAGTAATTCAGTTTCACATAAGGGAGCTTTTTATTCATATGCCAACTTCGTGGATCTCAATTGCCATTGATGGAAGTCTTTCCTAAATATATCTGGATCATCTCAGGTAAAAAAATGATCTGTGAATAATGATACTAAAAAATATTTATCATCATGGAGAAGATGGATACTCAATTGATATTTTTCAAAAGGATGCAACAACAAAACTTCTTTTTAACGATAAAACTGCATCTGCTCCCAATTTTTATTTATACTGAATTATGGTAAGGAAAAAATTAGATATACTTGTTATGGTCCATTGTTTAACTAATTTTTAGTAATATGTATGCTATATTAAACACCAAAAAATTAAATTTCATCGAAAATAATCAAAAAATGTTTAGTGCATATAAATATATTAATTTAAAAGATGTCGTAGGAAGACAAGATATTGAAGTAGATCAACTTGAAAAATTATTTGTGTTGCCACCATCATTTATAGGAGGCCCATGATATATGCATGAGAGTTCCCAAGATGCACTGACATACGTTCAACACTATGGCAGCTCAGATTTATTTGTTACTTTTACGTGTAATCCAAAATGGTATGACAAGAAGCACTTTTACCAGGAAAAAAACATTATCATCGTCTAGACATCATTGTAAGAGTTTTTAAACGAAAAGTTAAGGAGTTAATGGATCTTTTATCAAAATTAAATTTGTTTGTGAAAGTAAAGTGCCATATATATTCCATGGAATGGCAGAAACGAGGCCTACCTCATGTACACATATTGTTATGGTTGGAAAATCGAATTTCATCAGATATGATATAATTTGTATGTACCGAGATTCCGAATCCAGATATAAATCCTTTATGATACGAGATAGTAAGAGCTAATATGATGCATGGACCATGTGGAGTTTTTAACAAAAATTTTCAGTGCATAACAGATGATGTCTTCAGCGAACGTTATCCAGTTACCCTTATTTAAGATACTTAAAGAGGTAAAGATGGTTATCCAAAATATAGACTGTGATCAACAAATAATGGAGGTTTCAAAGTGAGTAATAAATCAATTAGACTTAGATAACAGGTAGATTGTTCTATATAACCCTGTTTTATTGCGTACTTTTAAAACTCATATAAATGTTGAAATAACCAGTTCAATCATGTCTATAAAATATGTATACAATATGTCACAGAAAGTAGCGATCACGCAGCGTTTGGTTTAGGAAAAACTGACAATACAGATGAAATCAAAATTTATGAAAGTGGCAGGTATATCAGTTGTTCCGAAGCAGCTTGGAGAATTCTAGGTTTCCACATACACAATAGATATCAGGCTATTACACATCTTGATTTTGACCTAGAAATAGACAACGTATTTACTTTACTACAAATAATTTCGTTGAAAGAATAGTAAATCCGCCTACAACAATTCTTCAGGCTTTTTTTTTTTTAAATATGTCAAACCGATAATTTTGCTGCAACACTGCTTTATCTACAAGTTGCTTCGTATTATGTGTGGAAAAATGAGAAATTTGTTAGACGTAAACAAGGCCAGAATGTCGCATGTTGGCCAGGAGTTAAGAAAGATACAACCTTGGGTATAGTTTATACAATTCATCCAAGCAATGTTGAATTTTACCATCTTAGCTTTGTTCATCATCACATAAAAGGTACTGTATTAAATTTTTTTTGAATACTGTGAACAATACCGAGTATCCGACATTTCAAGTCGCACTTGGATTAATGGAAGATGACAAGCAGTGGGATTTTACTTTAGAAGAAGTAGCATTATGTCGTTCATCTAATAAAATGCAAGGACTTTCAGTGTAATATTAATATTTTGTCATCCAGAAGTCTTTGGAATAAATATAAACACGGTTTTTCGGACGATATTCGGCGACAATACTGTAGACAACACCTTAAAAATAATATAACAGACAATGAACTTCATAATATATATTTGGTATTAATTGAAGACTTTGTTTTGAATCTAGGTGGAAACAATCATAAAGAATATGGTTTTCCTACTCTTACAAGATATGGTAGACTGTTAGACAATAGAGAATATTTAAAAGAAACAATCTATGATTTAAATGCTTTATACGAAATTGTTTTGCAAAATAAAACATCTTTGATTGAGGAACAGTAGTTTGTTTACAAAGAAACACTGAATAGTATCAAATTAAATTAAGGCAAAATTATATTTTTAAATGATCCTAGTGGAACTTGTAATACCCACTTAAACAATGTACTTCTGATTAAAGTAAGAAACTCATATAGGATCGAAATTGCTGCTGCATCATCAGGAATTTCTGCTCCATTTTACATGGCGGAAAAGTTACTCATTCTGCTTTCAAGTCACCATTCAATCTAAACAACATTGATACTTCAACGTATAATATTATTAAACAATCTAATATGGTGAAAGGTCTGAAAGAATACAAGCTCATAGTTTGGAATGAAAGTCCTATGTCCCAAAAGAATGTGTTCGAGGTTTTAAACAACAGTCTGAAGAATCTGAATAATTAAAATTTATTGATGGGAGGAGTCAAAGTATTGCTAGCTGGAGATTTTCGACAAACACTACTAGTCGTATCTAGAGGAACTCGAAGAACTTTAATGAAATTGAAGCAAACATAAAGTTTTCATATGCGTGGCCTTCAAACAGAAAAATTTTCATTAACAAAAATAAATGCGAATACATTTAAAAGGAAACAGGACTGCTGAAGTTTTTTGGGCTACTCTTAAAAACAAGAGATAGAAAATATTCAGAACGTAAAGAAAAAATTAATTTGTCTACAAGAATAGGTACTAATGTAAAAACTTTAAATGAACTTACTGATAAAATATATCCTGGAATTGAAAACCTCAAAGAAATATCATTGGACTGGTTATGTGAAAGGGGCATTTTGACATTAAAAAAATGATGTAACAGGAGAAATAAATAAAATATTATTGGACTCTTTCCAAGCAAAAAATATGGAATATAGATCAGTGAATTCACTATTGGTAGTAGATGATGCAGTTAATTATGAAGTTGAATTTCTCAATTCGTTCATCCCTCCAGGGTTTCCACCACATTTATTAAAAGCAAAAATTGGTACTCCTATAATGCTTTTAAGAAATCTAACCCTCCAATATTGAGAAACGTCTATGTATAACTGATCCTCAGAAATTCTGATAGAAGCTGAAATTATTACTGCATCTGCAAAAGATGAATTAGTTTTTATTCCTCGTATACCAATGGTACCATCAGATTATCCATTCCAATTAAAAAGAATGCAGTTTCCTGTCAACGAATGTTTTGCTATGACAATAAATAAATCCCAAGATCAAATCTTAAAAATTATAGGGTTCGACGTAAGAGAAGATTATTTTTCCCAGAGACTCATTTATGTGGCATGCTCCAGAGTCAGTCCACCCACAAGTGTAGTGTGTATGCTATTTGGACACCTAAGTAAGTGGGTCATATTTTACTCTTGGCCGCACGAGCATGTCTAATTTTTTTCACCCAGTAGTCTTCATGCCTTCATATTGTCATTATAGCCTCCCACACCAGTTCTAATTCTGTTCAAATATGCCATTTGTTTTCATAACCATTTTCTTTGATTGTAGCCATTGGTTTTCGTAATTAGTTTCTTTATTCCATTTGTCAAGTATTGGTATCACTTGGTGTTTTATTTAGCTTAGTAGTTTTTTTTAAAAAACTATTACACTTATCCCGCTATTAGTGATTTTTTTTAGATAGGTAGTGGTTTGAATTACCTATTTTGGACAGTTTAACCGATTATTTTACTACTGCTTTAGTGCTACTGATTTTTTTGCATTATATTGAAACACAATGATGATATTTTAATTTAAATATCCAATGTACTATAATATCTGACGTATAAAATCAAAAAAAATTAAAAATAGATCTTTTCATATATCGGTTAGTTTCAATACAACTCATGGTTTTTCGTTTTCAAATGTTAGATTGAGTTATTTAATAGATTCTGAGTGGTGTACAATCGCGGCTAAATCCTAAATGAAGTCCGGCTCACCGACGAAAACCGTAAAAATGTTCCTAACAAATTATTTTTCAGTTTCTTTGCTTCCGTAACAACCAAATTAACTCTTAGGAAGGTACTAAACCTATATTTAAAATAAATTTTTATTTTCGAAGACTCGAAAAAACATTTTCACTTGCATTGATAATCAGGAAATATACTAACAGTTGTGTTTGAATTTTTAAATGTACAAATTTAATCACCTGCGGTATTTTGGGTGTCATTATTGTTTATTTAGGTTGATAGGTACCTAGTTAATGTTTGTCAATTGTGTTAAACAAATTATAGGAGTCATAATATTATTAACGTATATATACAGTCTGTTTTTCATAATTTAATCATTTAAACAAAAAATAATCAATAATATTAGTATGATTTGGACTGCAAGGATATTGACATATACCAATAATTAAACGAAAGCAATTGATTTACATGTCTTGTGCGGATTTTTTATTTTAGGAATAAAATTGTACTCAAAAATACAGTAATATTTTGTACAATTTTCGAGTATACAGAGTGCGTATATGTATTAAATATTATGTTATGAGCAAATAATATAATTATAACATTTTATATAATGTTGTCTTGATATATAGAATGTCCGTAATATTTTTTATAATTTAGATTTTGTAGGAAATATTTTTATTATATTATAATTTTTAAACAAAAGTATAAATTGTTAATTAATTTATTGGATAAGATTATCAAAGATTTTTTTTTTTTTTTTGATTAATGATTAGCTAATAATTATCATTTTATTTTATATAAATGTGGTAAATTTAATTTCTATGCTAATAAATAAATATATTTAAGATTCTGAATATAGCATGTAAGAAGATTCTTTTTCTTTATAATATACATAAACAACATTTCCATCAGAAATCTTGGTCCAGTAAAAAAAAAAATAATAAGAAACCTTTTTGGTTGCATTTCGGACCTTGATGTTGCATCAAAAAGATCATTTATTGATTTTTCAAAAGTTTTCCATAATAAATGAGAAAAATCGTAAACAGAATTATAGGACAAATAGACAATGATTTACGGCGCGTCAAAGTTTTATCGATTTTATTATTTTACGTTTTGTTTTCTACCAGAAATCCAGCTTTAATTCAAAAATTATGTTGTATTATCATTATATAATTGTTTTTCTACAAACTTTTGTAATTTAGTATATTGTAAAACTATACAAAAATATTTTAAGTCCAAACCTTATACTCTTTTCTAAAGACAATAATTATTTTTGTATATGATTATGATTTTTTTTTTTTAATACAAATAAGCTTAAAATTGGAAGAAATGTAAATAAATTGTTAGTATAAATTAAATGTTTTTTTTTTTTTTTTGCTTTTTTCAAATAATTTTTTATTATTTAAATTATCTACCTACAAATCCAAACCCTAATTATATGTATACTTTTTTTTTTGTAAATAAACATTAGGTACTTATTGTGACATGCACTACTTCAATAATCTTTTTATTAGTTGAGCTTCAAAAATATACTAAATATAATAATATTGCCTATAAAATCTGAATTGTCCAATTTACCAAAGGCATTATAAAAAATGTTAAAATTATTATATTTTTCCCGTAATATATACATTTAATATAAACTAACTATTAAACGGAGAATTAAGGTGTGTATGATCGTATGACAATGAATGTTGATATTCACCATTATTTATTAAATATTATTTGATTTAAAAAATTAATTTATAATTTATACCTGTATGTCCACGGTGATTATTGATTTCACATTTAACCGAGTTCTCGTGATTAATTGGAAAGTATTATTATAGGTTTTGTTTTTGTTGGATTCTGAGTATGGTTATAAAACTATTAGTTTTAATAAGACAATATTTTTACTCTTGGAAAACAATTTTTTAGTTAGGTTAGATTAGATTTTTTCACACAGAATTGTATAAGGTGCGACATTTTTCGCCAGTAGTAGTTCATCTACCATCTCCCTTGTTTTAGAAGTTGTATAAACTACTATACAACGAATACAACCGTGTTTCCTTTGCTGAAACTGTTTAAAATCATGAAATTCTTATATAGCTGAACTACACTCCGAATCATTTTTTAAGCATTGATTTTGGTATACCATAAAGTTACACCTATAACCTTCTCGTAATATAAACTAAGTAGCTAAGTTGTTATAAGTGACTTATGTAGTGATTTATTTTTACTGCTTAATCTGCAGTGTTATGGGTTTTCAATATGCAATATTTGAGTTATTAATAGGCAAATTAAATTTTTGAGTTTTTTCGTTTTCTTTTGGTTTGATATGGGTAAAAAGTGTTTGACTGAAAAGAAATGCTTAAAAATTGAACATAAAGCTCATATTAGATAAGTTTTAATTAATGGTAAAAAAAAAAGTTGAATGTAATGTTGTAAATATTTAAATACACATTTAAAGTGAAAGGGAATCGTAAAAATGGAGGCATTTAAAAACATGTTTCACCGAACTTAGCTCAAGGTCGTTATTCATTAGCAATGATTTATCGATGTATACAAATATAAATTAAATAACACTATATATCCTTCCTTAACTTCACAATTCCTCGTCTACAATAATGGCATACTCGTCAGCAGTATAAAAACAAGAATTTGGCAGATTTTCATGAATTTATAGGAACACCTTTTAGATAAATCCAGCCTTGTGCATGCAGTATATAAACTGAAACACTGTAAATTTTATCTTTCCAATTACACTCCTAGAGCAGTGGCCTACTTGTAGCAGAATCGAATTTTTAATATTATTTATTTGTTTGAGCATTAAAATTTAATTCAATTGCTAGTTGTTCTTTATTACAAATCCATTAACTTCTCCTGAACGTTGTTTGAAAAATTACCTAAAAAATACAAAACTCATACGTAAATCGAGTCTGTAATGGCACACAAAATGAGAATTTTAATTTTTATAATATGTACCTAAATATTCTACATTATATACTGAATATTTTAAATAGTATTCTAAATAACCTAATATCTATACATAGATTAGCAAACTATTCAGAGGCATCCTTATACAGTTTTCAAGGGGGGGGGGGCGAATTTACATTTTAAATCAATAATTACTGTAGGCGTACTTTTTTCCTTATATATTCACCTTGGAGACATGGATGAGACATAAAGCGCAATAGCCAGACTACCCACTTTCTATCTATTTTTTTTCCGTCTAATGTACTGAGTAAAACATGAATAAAGGTACAAAGAACACGAAAAATGTCATGGGCTACGCCGGGTGGATGACAGCTAGTAAAATAATAAAATAATTATAATAATAATAATAAATAAGTAAAATAAATAAATTAAACAAACTAATTATGAAATCTGTTTTTATTTTATTTTTTGAAAATTGATTAATTATATTATTTACATCAATTCTGTGATTGGGACCATCGTCACAGTGGTAAGGTTATCACTCATGATAAATCAAGTTAAATGTCTATTAGTCTATTACTTCATAATGACAACGCTGATTTCATTAAACTCAATATAAAATAATCAAATTTTTTTTTGCCATTTGTCATTTTTCGTGTCTTTTGTCTTATGATTTTTGTCCCTGTTATCAAAGAAACAACAAAAATATATTTTTAAGAATCCAAAATTCAAAGTTGTATTGTTGAGAACTCATATGGAGTGGTGACAGGGATATTAGTTTATTACCACCACAATATGTTTCTATAGAAAAGTATACCATAGATCATTTGGGTAGGTACCCCTTTTTATTTAAATTTGTTTAGCATAGTTATCACGTGATTTTGTTGTTGACAAACAATACGCAAAAAATTTATTATACGTCTAAACAATTTATGTGTTTACCGTTTACTTAGTTTTATATTGATTTTTCTGTGATGGTTAAATATTTACGAATGTAAAACAGGTACATGATTTGTGCTTTCGGTTTTATAGTTTTACTTAAAAAAATATTTGTTAGTTTTGAATAATAAATATTATTGTGATTTTTAATATGTTTATTCCGCTCGTGTTATGCAGATTAGAAATATTATAAAACTAGTTTTTGCTAGACGCATTATAATTTTATTTGTAAATTACCATTAGAGTTTTAGGTATAAAATGTTTACCTGAAATTATTACACTGTTAAAAATATTTCAATGGAAGGTCAAAAAATAATTTGTTTAATAAGTGTATTCGCATAATTCATTTATTGGTCTATATTAGGTTTTAAAAACTGAAAAGAGTATATTTTTCCTTTTTGCCAAGGTAACTCAGAAATCAACAAAAAATTGATAGCTTTCCCTATTTATTAAGTACAAGAAAAATGAATTAATTACCCCAATGTACAAACTTGGAAAAAAAATGGTGGGAAAAAAGTTATTTACACACACTATATATATTAACATAAAAATATATTTTAATATTATTGTTTTAATTATTATTATGGTTATTTATTATTTGTATTATTAGGTGATTATGCTTTTTTCCTAATTTAAGGGTCTTATCTCCTTGATTATTTGGTTATGCACACCTATGTAAATAGGTATTTGCACTTGTCTGGATCCATAACTATATATAGCAATAAATAATTATAGCTTAGGCCATTAAAATTTCTACTTATAAAATAACTATGAAATGTATAATAGGATATTTTTATCACTTAACATCAATCAATATTATTTATCTCCCTTGTGAAAAATAATTATCTGTGTCCCGTCATTTTGACGCAAAACAAAAAAAATATACAAAATTAAAATAAAATATGAGGAACTTTCCATATTATAATATGGAAAATTGAATATGAACAGTGTATCTACTATTTATTACTTTTGAATTAGGGTTGCACAATTTTACAATATTATGCTGTATTTTTGGAAATAGTTTCTTTCAAGCATTCAAAATTCACCCAATTTTAAAATTTTTTTTCTCCACATTAATTCTACAAAATTGCCATTTTAGAATTTTAAAAAAAATCTTTAGCGGTTCTTGACTTTAATATTTTAGACCATTATAAAAGGAAGGCTATTGTCATATAATAAATTGATAACCCTGTACTAAAATAACAGCATTATATTTCAAAATACAGCTATTGATCCTCCAATTAATTTACATACTGTATAAATATATTTTATTGTAATTTTGTTTTTTTTTATTTTGGATCAAAATTGACTCGTGTCGAAATGTAGTGGCATCAAAATTGCATATTTAAAAATGACACATATGCCCAATTGTCATTTCTCAAATGACTGCGTTCATTTTACGCCCATCTAAATTATCGTATCAAAATAACATATATTTTGATATTAATGTTATTTTCACGGTATAAAATAATATTTCGCATTAAACATATTTTTCTGTAATATATTAACACTGTCTAGACGTGGTTACATTTTCAAAACTCTGCAATTATAATGAGGATTATTATTAGTTAAACTAGTAAAAAAATGAATTATAATGCATGTAGTTGTATTTCTTATAAGCGTTTTGAGTTCAAATATTAACGAAAATCTTAAAAATCACGGTATTTCAAAATATGTTAAATTTCTTTCATTGTCTAAGCTAATATCTTATATATATATATGAAGAATTAAGTACCTTTTTTTTTAAATTTTGGAATTTTCTTTCCGACTCAAAAAAAAATGTAATTTTCTCCTACATACATGTCCTCAGTGGTCTGATATCAGTGGCCTGCCCATAAGCAACAATAGTTTTTAATTGGTTTAATTGAATCAACTATCTGATTTATCCAATTTTTTCCTTAATAAATTATGCCTAGCTATATATGCCTACCTGTACGATAAATTATCATAGAATTATTATACTATTATTGATAATATAATAATTGCTTTATTACACTTAAAGTACCCACAGAGATAGTATAATAAAGTATCGATTATTTTTATTATATACAATGCAAGTTAATTATAGGCGAGTTGGAGTGGGGAGTATGTGACCGTTAATCGATTAATGAACACAAAAATGCGCTCTTAAGCTATTAAATAGTGTAATCATACCCTTATGAGTTATGACTTATGATAATATGTTAGGTTAGGTAGGTCAATTTTACCTTGTCCGTATCGTTTGTAGCATATACATTGATAAGTATAACCATGAATATTGTAACCTTAATATTTTATTAATTATTAATTATTTAAATTTTCAAAAATGTATACATATATTTTTATGTGATATGGTAATAATTTTTTTTTTATTTGTCGACTTACCTTGCAGTGGCCATCAGT